GGTTGGATTAAACAACAGAAATTTATTTGGTCACAGTTCCCTTGGCTACAAATCCAAAATCAAGGTGTCAGCAAGGGTGGGTTCTTTCTGAGGACTGTGAGGGAGAATGTGTTCTATTTCTCTCTCGTAGCTTCTGGTGGTTTGCCTTCACATTCCTTGGCTTCTGCTGTATCGCCCCGATACTCAGTGTGTTTGTCTCTTTCTGTGTCCAAATTTCCCCCCCTAAAAAAAATATTTATTTTGAGAGAGAGGGAAAGAGAATCCTAAGCAGGCTCCATGCTGACAAACATGAGATCATGACCTGAACCAAAATCAAGAGTTGGATGCTTAACCAACTGAGTGACCCATGTGCCTCCAAGTCTCCCCTTTGAATAAAGGCACCAGTCGTGATGAATTAGGGCCTACCCTGATGACTTCATCTTAACTCGGATCTATAAAGACCCTATTTCTGAATAAGATGACATTTACAGGTCCCGGGGATTAAGTCTTCAATATCTTTTGAGGGGACACAGTTTAACCCCATAACACTTGTACTCCAAAAGTACAAAACATCAAAGTTTAAGAAGACTTAAATCTGTGGCGAGATTGCAGGAGTGCTGACAACATGGAATCCATCTTCGGCCCTCCATCTTGTTTCTGCCTGCGTGATGACCTCCATAGTGGCTACGTGTTCCTGGCCCCATGGAGGTTAATGTATGCCTGACCAGAATGCAAGGAGGCTTCTTCTGATCTTCCCTAAAGTGATAACAGAAGACACCACTTTGGGTAACTAGTAGAGGTTCTCTGGTGTACAGAGTAGTTACCTAAATGGTAGTTACCTACCCAGTGGCAACTACCATTTAGGTAATTACTCTGTGCCCCTGACTCCATAAAAGCTGGGGATTAAGGTCCAGACTGGGTGGAGAATGGCTGTGGACGGCCTGGATCATCCATACACCTGCCTGATCGTCCGCCAGGAAGTGACCTTGAATAAAATGTGTAAATGGCATGGAGTGGCTTGCTTCATATCTCAACATTAAAGTGCCTTCTCACTCTGGATGCTACATTGCTGACCCTCCTCTGCCCTCTAATGAAACACAGTCGTGGCTATCAGAAGACTTATAAGATTAGTAGTACTCTGTAAATTGATTGACAGATTCAATTCAATTCCTTCTTTACAGAAATTGACAAGCTGATCAAAAGTTCATGTGGAAATTCAAGGGACCCAGAATAGTCAAAGCAATCCTGAAAAAGAACAGTGTTGGTGGATTCACATACCCTGATTTTAAAACTTACTACAAAGCTACAATAATCAAAGCAATGTGTTACTGCCAAAAATATAGGCATATAGACCAATGGAATATAAGTGAGACTTCAGAAATAAACCCACATGTCTCTGGTCAGTTGATTTTTGACAAGGGTATGAAGACAGGATGAGAAAGAATGAATTTGAACCCCCTGTTTATACAAAAGCGAGCTGAAAATGGATTAAAGACCTAAATGTTAGCTAAAACTATAAATCTCTTAGAAGAAAACACAGGCATAAAATCATTATGACTTTGGATTAAGCAATGGTTTGCTTAGCTGTGATATCAAAAATGAACAATAAAAGAAAAATGCATTGAACTTCATCTAAATCGAAACTTCTGTGCTTCAAAAAGCACCATGAAGAGAGTGAAAGATGACCTATGCACCTGGAGAAACTGTTTGTAAACCATATATTTATCTGATAAGTAGTTTTGCATCTAGAATAAAGCACTCCTACAATTCAGTAATACAAAGCCAATCCAAATTAAAAAATGAGCAAAGGATCTCAACAGACATTTCTCCAAGGTATATACAAATGGGTAAGAAACATATGAAAATATGTTCCAAGTCATGAGCCATCAGAGAAATGCAAATTAAAACCACAGTATGGGGCACCTGGGAGCTTCAGTGAGTTAGAGCCTCATGTTGGGCTCTGTGCTGACAGCTCAGAGCCTGGAGCCTGCTTTGGATTCTGTGTCTCTCTCTCTCTCTCTCTCTCTCTCTGCCCCTCCCCATCTTGTGCTCTGTCTCTCAAAAATAAATAAACATTAATTAAAAAAATAAAAACCACAGTGCCTTCACTCCCACTAGAATGGCACTAGTGAAAAATGACAGATAATTGACAGGTGGTGGTGAGGATGGGGAGGAATCAGAAACCGCATCCACTGCCAGTGGGACGTAACATGGTATATCCACTTTCAGAAACAGCCCACATTTCTTTGAAATGTTACCCATAGTGTGGCTGTGTGATCCAGCAGTTTCGCTCCTAGGCGTAATTTCCAAGAGTAAATGAAAACCTACATCCACATGAAAACACTTCATAAATGCTCAAGCCATCATGATTCATAACAGTCAAATAGTGGAAATAACTCCAATGTCTGTCAACCAAAGAGTGGTTAAGTAAAATGTGGTATATCCATACAATGGAATATTATTTAGCAATAAAAAATGAGATACTCCTATATGGATATAACACGGATAAGCCTTGAAAGAAATTATGCTAAATGAAAGAATCCAGTCATGAAGACCACATATTGTTACATTTTCATTTATATGAAAGGTCCAGAACAGGCAAATCCACAGAAACATAAAATAGATTGGTGGCTTGTGGAAAATGGGGAGTGAATATAGGGGTTTTCTTGGGGGTGATAAAAATATCCTAAAATTGTGGCAATGATTGCACAACTCTGAATATACTGGCAACTATTGAATGTTTAGTTTATGTGGATGAATCACATGGTATGTGAATTATATCTCAAGGCTGTTATAAAAAAATGTCTCACCATGTTGATAGAAGTAGGGGAAAAAAAGGATCATCTTCGATACAGAAAAAACAGTTAACAAAATCTAACACTCATGTTTGATTAAAAACTCAACAAATTAGGAATGGGAGGGAATTTCTTCAATATTATAAAGGCATCTTTAAAAAAACCCGATAACATCATACTTAATGATGAAAGATGGAATGGAAAAAAGACAAGGATGATTTTCACCTCATTGTTGGTCATAATTTCATGTTTCTTCACATGCCTGGTCATTTTTTTGGATGCCAGACATAATTTTACCTTTTTGGGGTGCTGAATATTTTTGTATTGGTGACATATTTTGAGCTTTGTTGTGGGATATAGTGAAAGTAGTTAAAGTACTTGGAAACCATTTGATTTTTTTTTTTCAATGTTTATTTTTGAGAGAGTGTGAGTGGGCAAGGGACAGAGAGAGAGGGAGACGCAGAATCTGAAGCAGGCTTCACGCTCCGAACTGACAGCACAGAGCCCGACGCGGGGCTCGAACTCACAGACCGTGAGATCATGACCTGAGCCCAAGGTGGACGCTTAACCGACTGAGCCACCCAGGCGCCCCACCTTTTGGGTATTGCTTTAGAGACTTGTCACACATGACCAGAGCAGTGGTCAGCTTCGGGCTAATTACTGCCCGCTCCTGGGCAAGACCCAGGGCTTCCTGAATCATGAATCTGGCTGGCTGGAGAGAGCAGGCACGTTTCTTAATCCTGTGTGGACACAGTTACATCTAATCCTGTCAGATGGTGCTCTCCCAGGCCTTGGGCATCTTCTTCACATGCACGTGCTGAGCATTACCCAGCCGAGTACCCAAGGTCTGTTGTCCCCAGATCTCCAGAGGTCTCTCAATACAGCTCTCTCCTCTCTGGTGTTCTGGTCTGCAAAGTAGTCACCTTGTTCTTTTTCTGCACCTGTGAGGAGTCCACCAGACTCCACTAGGTTTGCACTACTGGTATCATGTTCTGGAAACTACCAAGGCAGTAAGCTAGGACAGCTGGAGAGCTCTCTTCATTTGTTACCTGTCTCTCAGGGTCACGGATCTCTGTTGCCTAATGTGTAGCATCCTGAAAACTATGGTTTCATATATTTTGCCTGTTCCCTGGTTTCAGGCCGGGGGGTAAATGTGGTCACTATTACTCCATGTTAGCCAGGAGCATGTGGCATATTAAACAAAGTTGACAAGGCAATTTGCTGGGGAAAAGCTGGTCTTTGCAACATATGGTGGTGGACCAGTTGGCTGTTCAGGTGCAAAAAGGAGGCACAGGGGAAGGGAGAGGACTTAGACCCTTAGCACCATTCACTACAATTAATCCTAAATGAGTCATTCATAGGCCTAAATGTGAAAGCTAAAACTATAAAGCGTCTAGAAGAAAATGACTTTCAGTGAGGCAGTGATTTTTATGTGTGGCCCCAGAATACAATTCAGAGAAGGGTAATAAATTGGACTTTATACCTAGCAATTCCTAGGTATATACCAAAAGGATCGAAAGAAGGGGCTCACGCAGATAGCTGTATGCTGGTGTTCACAGCAGCATTATTCACAGTAGCTAAAAGGGAGAAATAGCCCAAGTGTCTGTCAGCAGGTGAATGGGTCAACAAAATGTGGTCCACACGTGCGATGGAATGTCACTCATCCATAAAAAGGAATGAAATTCTGATGCCTTCTACAACATAGATGAACGAACACCAAAAACGTTATGCTAAGTGAAAGAGCCAGGCACAAAAGGACAAATTGTACTTAACACGAAGTACCTAGAAGAGCAAATTCATAGTGACAGAGAGAATAAAGGTTTTTAGGGGTTGGGAGAGTGGGAAAGGAGTTACTGCTTAATGATGTGTTCCTTTCCAAGAGCTACCATAAGAGTCTACCACAAACTTGCACTGGCTTAAAAAACAGACATTTATGGGGCGCCTGGGTGGCTCAGTCAGTTGCGTGTCCAACTGCGGCTCAGGTCATGATCTCGTGGTTCGGGAGTTCATGAGCCCTGCATTGGGCTCTGTGCTGACAGCCTGGAGCCTGGAACCTGCTTCGGATTCTGTGTCTCCCTCTGTCTCTGCCCCTCTCCCATTCACACTCTGTCTCTCTCTGTCTCAAGTAAGTGTTAAGAAAATTTAAAAGAAAACATTTATTGTCTCCATTTTGGAGGCTAGAAGTCCGAGATCAAGGTGTCAGCAAACCCCTGCTCCCTCTAAAACCTGTAGGTGAGTCCTTCCTTGCCTCTCTGGCTTCTGGTAGTTTGCTGGCATTCTTTGGTGTCTCTTGTAGATGCATAACTCCCATCCTTCATCTTCGCGTGGCGTTTTCTCTGTGTCTTCATGTCATCGTTCCATGTTTTCCAGATTTCCCTTTTAAGGACACCGGTCACGTTGGATGAGGCCCACTCTGATGACCTCATCTTATTACCTCTGTATAGACGATATTTCCAAGTAGGGTCACATTCTGGGGTTAGCACCTCAGCATCTCTTTTTGAGGGACATGACCCGTAACAAGTGGATACAGAGCTTCTCTTTAGGATGAAGAAATAATTCTGCAAACGTGTAGTGGTGACAGTTGCACAACATTGTGCATGGTCTTCATGCCTCCGAGTCGTGTACTTAATATGATTAAGATGGTAAATTTTGTGTTATGTATATTTCATCACAATTAAAAATGCTTGGAAGGATGGGGCGCCTGGGTGGTTCAGTCGGTTAAGCCTCCGACTTCGGCTCAGGTCACGATCTCCTAGTCCGTGAGGTCCAGCCCCGCGTCGGGCTCTGTGCTGACAGCTTGGAGCCTGGAGCCTTCTTCGGATTCTGTGTCTCCCTCCCTCTCTGCTCCTCCCCCATTCGTGTTCTGTCTCTCTCTCTCAAATAATGAATCAACCTTAAAACAATTTTTAAAAAATGCTTGGAAGGACACTCAGCAAATGTTACATGTAGTTTTCTCTAAGTGATAGTGGGATGTGGGTGATTTTCCCTTTCTCTTCGGTAATTGTATGTTATTTTCAAATAAAAATATATTTTTTATAGTTAATCTTAGGAAGAGCATATATAAAAGTAAATTTCTCTCCATTCAAAGTTCCATCTTTAGTGGAAAATGAAACCTAGTTTCACGACATCCAGTTTGATAAGACAGAAGAAGCTTAGTGAAACTTTTCCCACCCTAAAATGTTTATTCTTGTTTTTCTTCTCTAAGGGGTCTGGATGTTTGTAATTCAGATGTTTGAAGATCGTATCTTCTTCAGAATGAGACATAATTTTCTGTTCAGTGTTAGTAGAGCATGCCAATTCTGTTTTAAAAATGTAACCTAGAAATAAGTGCAAATTTAGATTCTCATTCTTTACCCTCAGGGAGTATTGGAAATGCCAAATGATTTTGTTTAGTTGTGATAAATCCAACCTCTGGAACTGCTACTTTGTGCTTGATTGTGCTAGTGTGCAGCTTTATGGAAAAATACTTACCGGTTCAGTTTTTAGGCATAATTTCAGAATTTGAATTAGTTGACAAAGGCCAGACTTAAAGTAACATGTCGATTTGGTTATAGTTTATCTTTGTACATATGCATTTGTAAACATCATTTAATTGACAAAAAGGAATAGATCATTATTTTGAAGGACAGTGTTACCTCTTTTTCATGATCAATTGAAGAAAAAAATTCTCAATTTAAGTAACATTTCTGCTTTATGGCAACTGTGGGCCAGTGAATCCAGAGTGCTTCTCAAATTAGAAATTTAGAATGGGGGCACCTGGGTGGCCGAGTTGGTTAAGCAACTGACTCTTGGTTTGAGCTCAGGTCATGATGTTGCAGTTTGTGGGTTTGAGTCCTGCATTGGGCTCTGCATTGAAATTGCGGAGCCTGCTTGGTATTTCTCTCTCCCTCTCTCTTTCCCCCTCCTCAGCTTGCTCTCTCTCTCTCTTTCAAAAAATAAATAAACATACAAAATTAAAAAAAAAAAAGAAATTTAGAATGTCTTGATGTTTCCTTAAGTCACGCCGAATTTTCTTTTCGGCAGATTATCCTACGATATGATGTGTTGAAAGAAGAATTCTAAACTCATCTGGAAAATAATAGTAGGGAAATGTTTGTGTGTTAACCATATTCTAATCTAATCTGAGTTAAAAACTTGACTTTCATGATATCATTTTAAGGTTCAGCTTAATTTTCAGAAAATGGAAAGTAGAGTTACTCTTCATTGGCATTTTGCCCTTTAAAAAACCTTAATACAAGATTAGCAAGATATTAGAGCTGCGGTAATTGGATGTCTTTCAGGGTAATAAACCATTAAAGTTTATGAGTCACGTTAACAGAAAGTCCTCTCCACCATTTCCCTTTATCGGTTCGTTCTACAATAATCATAAAATCCTCTGCCTGGAGTTCAGAGCACAGCAAGGGAGAGAGGAAAAAGCCAGAACAGAAACTCCAGAAAGTAATAAGCGGGAAGTGTTCGGTAACCTTTTGATCCTCAAGCTCATGACAAATGTCCAGTGCTTCTTGGCTGGGGTGACACTTCCTCCCAATGACTTGGTAACTTGTCTGTGGTCTCAAGGACTCAGAGACTCCCAAATACGTTTTCTGGAAGTCTTCCCAAAGCTACCTTGGTCATTAAAAAAAAAAAAAAAAAAAAAAAAAAAAAAGGAGAAGGAGAAGAAGGAGGAAGAGGAGGAGAAGGAGAAAAAGAAAAAAAGGTAAGAGCAACGTTGAGGGCTCTGGCCTTTGAGGAGTCACTTGGTCATTCCTAGTTGTTGGGGCTGCTGGTGGAAGCCTCCAGAAGGAGCAGGGTGTGGGCCACAAGCCAAGTCTCTGAGCATGGAGAGTATTGCCCCTTTCTGCCAATGTCAACCCCGAGTTTCTCAGTGAGAAGAGCACCTTGCTGTCCTTGTTGCTCTAAACCATCCCTACTTAGAGGGACTCTTAGGAAGAAGCCTTATGTGAATGATCACAGACCACGATCTAAGAAAAGCCTCCCTGTAACTCATTTTCTCCCTTCACCCTCTCCTTTACTTGACTCTCTCTTTTTTAATGTTTATTTATTTTTGAGAGAGAAAGAGCATGAGGAGGGGAGGGTCAGAGAGAAAAGGAGACACAGAATCCGAAGCAGGCTCCAGGCTCTGAGCTGTCAGCACAGAGCCCAACACGGGGCTCGAACTCACAGACCACGAGATCATGACCTGAGCCGAAGTTGGAGGCTCAACTGACTAAGCCACCCAGGTGCCTTGCCATTAGTTGACTCTTAACTTTTGTGTCAATGGATTTTATTCTGTACTTTCACCTACAGCGCTCAAAGCCCTTTGGAAGTTGGAAGAATATATATGTCCCTCTATGTGTTATTTAACAAGAATATCCAAATTGATACACTTATAAAAACAGGTTTTTCATGATTTGTGGAAGGCATTATGTAAATCTTACTGCATGTGGGTTTTCTTTCAAAAGAATCCTTTGATTACAGAGTTTCAAAAAAAAAAACAAAAAAAGCCATTGTTTACAACTTATTTTTCCAAAAAGAATATGCTAAATGCCAGATGTTGTTTTGTGGCCAGGAAGATGTATCCAAAACATATCCCTCTATAGCAATATGGCAGCATCCTTCTGTGAATTTCGGAAGTTTGAACAGTCCCAGAGAAGTTCTCTGTGTGTTAGGATCAGGGTAGGAATGGGGTATAGTGGTTTAGGGACTGGGATGATCTCAGAAAGCAATCTGGTATCTACTCGGTTGTGAAATCATGATATCTTTAGAACCTATACCCATAAAACCACGTTTACTGTTTTCTTTTGTTTAAAGATTACAATGAAAGGAACCATTTTTAAGCCTACATAGCCAGCCCAAAGGAATTTTTCATTTCTCACCCAGTTGTTTTTGCCCAAAGACTAGGAAAGAAACAACCCACCCTGTTACCTCTGACGGGAAACTTTAGACCAGAATGTTCTCCTGTATACTCATCTGGTGTGTGTCCACAATGCCTGATTAAAAATATAAATTTTGGTTCGTAAGTTCATGTCTATTGATGAAGCTGAATGTATATAGCTGTCTGTAGCCACATGGCAAATAGCCTATATACTATTACTCCTAAGTCCTGTTTGATAATGGCCATCCCACTCAGCCTTTCAAGATATAATAAAGCTTTATCAGTTATTCAAATCTGGACAGTTACTTGGACAGGCTCCAAATTAAACTGATAACCTTGACACAATGTCAAAACTAGCCGGGTGTTTTTGGAAGTTATTTGTCAATACAACGAAAGTTATTGGATATGGCCTGCATCAAACTTCCTGAGGATTACGTTTTCCAGAAAGTCCGTGATAAATGAAGCAAGGTTTTTATTTTAACCTCTTTGAACGGAAATGTTTCCACTTAGATTAGCAACAATTTTCAATAAAAAAGTTTCACTCTTAAAGAAAGGTAGAGAGAATAACATAATGAAAAGCCACGTGTACCCTCCACCCTAGGAAATAAAACACGTAAGTAGGATCGAAACTGTTGGCTGGGCGCCTGGGCGGCTCAGGCCATTGAGTGTCCGACTTCAGCTCAGGTCATGATCTCACAGTTTGTGGGTTCGAGCCCCACGCCAGGCTCACTGCTGTCAGCCTGTCAGTTCAGAGCCTGAACGGGGTCTGTTTGGATTCCATGCGTCCCTTTCTCTCTGCCTCTCCCCTACCTGTGCTCTATCTCTGTCTCTCAAAAATAAATATACATTAAAAAAATTTTTTTTAATGTTGGCATATTCCAGATTGTATTTTTACCTCCATACCCTCCCTGTAAACCTGCTCTTACAATTCCCATGCATGACCGTAATAGATTATTTTTACTCATCTCTGTTGATGGGATTTACCCATGCTGTATGTGCTGCTCTGGTTCATTCTTTTCCATTGCTATGCATTTCGTCATTCTCTTCTTGGTGGGTATTTAAGTTGATTTTAACATTTTGTATAATAATATAACAAATGGCCATTCCAGTAGGTCTCTTCTTGGGTACATGTCAGTTTCTATAGACTATGTACTTAGGAGTTAAATTGCTGAGTCATAGGCTATAAACATCTTTCAAACTCAATATCAAATTACTTTCCAAAATGTTTACACAGTTCACAGGTCAATAGTATCATAGAATGTCTTTCAATTTGAGTTTGTCTGATGTTCCATCGTGATTAGATTCAGGTTTGGCAAGAATATCCCAGAAGTAAAGCTGTGATCTTCTCAGTGCATCCCATTGAGGACTTTTGTTATAAAATGGCACATGATTCCAATTTGTCCCATTTCTGATGAAGTTTGTTTTGATCCCTTTATTAAAATGTTGTCTGCCAGGCTTCCCTGTGTAAAGTTACTCTTTTTCTCTTTGTAATTGGTAAATATTTTGTGGTGAGATACTTTGAAACAATGTAAATATCCCATTCTCCATATCCACTTCCCAGCCATCATAGAA